GAAGGGTGGCCATCTGGACGGCTCCGCAGCATGGCCTGGTGTCGTTCCCGGAGGAACAAAGCCAAAGCAGCACCAAGTCTCCCCACTGTGCTTCGTTCTGCACTGGAGGAGCAGGCAGCCTCCCTCCAGAGCGTCACCGGGAACAGCCACACGTGATCAGATCAAAAGCTCACCACGTGCCCGTGTAACACATCACTCAACAACGTGGGTACGTACGGGCCACCTCTTTTAAACCAGACTCTGTGTGACCGTACAGCATCCGCTCTGATTTCCCCCTGTAAATTTAGACTTCCTAATTCTACATGACCTGTGAGAAAAAAAAGAATCCTGTGCTAAGCCATGCCCGGACCTTTGGAGAACGCCCAAAAATACCACGTGTCTCTGAGGACAGAAGGAAGCATGGAACATATTCTCAGAGGGAGGAGACATCAAGAGAAGTGCTTACACACACACCAGGGGCTTCTACATACAAACCCAAAGTATTTAAATCTGCTCACACGGGAGAACAGCATGGAGAGGGTGGGGACAGAGGCAAGCTGGTGGTTCCTCTGGATCTCTGGGTCCCATCAGCTGGAGCTGTCCCAGCTGAGGCCCAGATTTCAGTGAAGAGGAAAAACTCTGTCCAAAAGTAAAGGTCAAGTAAACCTTTGAAAAATAAAAGACAGTGGACGCTTTGTCAGTATCAGCACTACAGAACGGGATCCCAAACACACGGTCTGTCCAATTCTGTGAACTTCAGGGCAATGTCTCTCGATACGTACCTGTGAAGGAACCGCCAAAACGTTCATTCCTTTGCTCCCAGCAGCCACTTTGCTGCATCACTAAACCCCTACAGAAAGTGTAAATTGCAAGCCAAACCCTGGGCTTCTCCTTTTGCCACCTCTGCCCTTTCCATCAGGCAGCCAGGGGCAGCCATGCACGTTCCCAGGGCTCAGGAGAGCAGCAGGCACACACAAAGCTCACACAGCCCATGCTGTGCCTTCCAGATGGGGACCTGGGAGAAAGCAGCGCTTTGGGGCTGGCGTAGGGCACTGAAATAAACTGAGCAACAACTATTCTGGGGCAGGAAATGCCTCATAAGGTAATGTAAGAGAGGCTTCCACTTCAACAGCTTCCTCGCAGAAGTGTAACGCCCAAATCATGCACTTGGAAGATTCTCCTCGTACTCAGTTACTTCAGCTAAACTTCCTTTTTAAAGCATCCCTAGTGCCTTCCTCCTGAAAACGTAGCTTAACAAGGTGAAGATTTGCAGCCTGAATCAAACTGAGACAGCTAATAAAATACTAGAAACTAAGAAGAGATTAGAGATCATCATCCTGTTGTTGAGGTGACTGAGGAGAAGGGGTGCACTGAGTGAACAGCTGAGGACACATCCCAGGCACAAAAATTGCCAAGCGACACCACCACCACCTTTGCAAAGGAGCCCAGGGAGCCTCCAGACTTGCCCTTTGTGTTCCCGCTGCCTGTAGCTTCATCCAGTGACACACAGCTGTCCAATATTTCCTAAAGAGCCTTTTTTATACTGAATTCTCACTCGTATCAATTATCTTGAATAATAAATAGATTAATTTACAGGTTAGTATTTATTAAAGGAACCCGGACAGTGGTTTTGATCCGAATCTCCAAGTTCTAATTCAGATCTGGGCTTTGAGTTACACCTGTAACTCGGCAGTGAGTGTTGAACAGACACTAACAGACACCCGGGCTGCAGGGCCACCTTTTCCACCAGTGTCACTGAGCACAGACGTGTTGGTACCACCAATCTATCTGGCACTGACTGAGGTGTACCCCATCATTCATCGGGAGGTACCCCCCAGCAGATTTTTCCAGCAGGACTCCTGGGAATATACCATTTTTCATCTTTCTTACCCCAGAACTATGCTCTGATTACACATCACCACATTTATCATTTGCTGGATCTAGCTAAAGAGCAAACTTCTAGTAGATTTGAGGGAGAGGCTACCAAAACAAGGGGGTTACCTGTCCCATCACGAGGCCCAAGGCTTGTCTGTCTGTGCTGCAGGAACAGCGCTGGTTCCCTCTCCGACTGCGAGAGGGACCACAACCACAGCTCACAGCTAAACCCCACCTTCAAGGAGCACCACCACCAGTCCTCCTGCAACTGCGTCTCCAGAATTCAGCGACTCGGAGAACTAAGTCTGGATCGTGGTATTCCGCTGCATAATCGTAGCAAAAATGGCTTAAAATGGCAAAAAGCATTTATTATTCACACAAGTACTTTTAATCAGACCCCAAATTAATCTCAGAAATGTGCCTTCACATTTCACAGATGCAAGACATTCTAAAAATAGCCAAGACCAAAACTTGAGCACTCATCACTGGCTTCATCTAAAAACAATGTGCATTTTGCTCATTAAAGAAATTAGATCCTCTTCTACCCAAAACCTTAGACATCAAGCCAATACCATCGTCTCGTTTTAGAGCTATGATACCCCAGTACAAGTCACAATTTTTTTAAGTTGGTTAGTACAGATTATGGTACAAATTTAAAAGAGGAAATATAACATTTCTTGAAGAAATCAAAACTGATTACAAGAGGACCAAATACATCACTATTAAATTACACTACTTTTTATCTTCCACCAAAAAAACCTCAATCCTACTTAATAATAGTGTAAAATTCCCCGTGTTTTAGAAAAGCATACATAAAATACCATCGGTACACTTTATTTCAAAAGACTTTGTTGTCTCAGCTCTCTAGCAATACCCCAATACAGGTTGACTTGTTCATGAAGAGATCAATCACAGGCCTGTAGCAAACATTAAAAAGTCGTGCCAAGTACAAATCCTCTTTTGAGACTTTTTTTTAATGTAAACTGGAAACAGGAGGCGTGAATCATCCGTACAGCAAACACAGAACAACTATGTCATTTTTCCCTTATTCATCTCAAGAGCTTTTGATCTTGTAACTGGAAAGTAACCTTCATGTTGCCAACTAAACCAAGTATGGATGTATGGAGAGCTGTAGGAGGAAGGCAGATTCTTAAATACACACGTCCCTCTAAGACCACTTCGATTTCCCTAGTGGCATCAGCACACTAATTAGAAGAACAAGCAGTTGCACTAATCAACACTGAACACACTAGAAGTAACAGGAGCCCCTACCATGTCCTAACGTAATCAATAAAAAGGCCACCCCCATCCTTTAATGGCTAAATGACAATCTTGGACATACTTCACACAGTCAGAGCACTAACGAGCTGCTCTGAACAAGGGTGTAACACACGGACCCTGTGCACCTCCGGGTTAAGGAAACAAGAATTGCTGACTGGAACTCAAGCTGCATCCATCCTATACCAGTAAAATTAGAGTAGCACAGGCCATAACAGTGCAAAACATCAGGTGAGATCTTACAAAAACTACAAACAGCGTCTCTCACTACAGCAGGGCTATCTGCTTACACCTGCACCTTTAGGGGAACGCATACTGATGAGCAGGATGGCAGAACCGGGCAAAATGAAGACCTCTGCTTAATCATTATTTTTTCAAGTACTGAAAACTTAAGCTTCAACGACTCTTCACATTTTTAAGTTTTATAATGGCTTTAGATATATTTAGAACCTTATATGCCAAGCTCTCAAGGAAGTTTGATTAGGATTTTTAAAGATACAGAAATAACAATGTTGCAGAGGTCTTGCAGTCCAGATGAATCTAAGTGAATGAAAACAGACTTAAGACATAAACCTATTTGCTAAGGTTGGATTTTTTTTGGAGGGATTCCCCTCTCCCTCCCCAAAAAAAGTTCTCCAGAACAAAATGCTTTTCTGGCAGGCTGTGCAGGCAGTAAGGGTTAAGCAAAGCCATTGTACCAATGAATGGTACGCGCATAACCTAAGCACCGTGCACTTCAAAGGTTCTTTCACTTGAGAAAATGGTGGCTTATCTGTCCATAGTTGTGCTCTTCCTGCCCTTCTCAAACACAGGGTCAGACTTAGCCGACCACAGGCAAAGGTCAAGGGTCTGATAATTCACACAACAAGAGAAAGCAGGCAGCCTACAGAGCTGAATTACTAAGTCTCACCTTCTACAAATAAGGACTGCTACCACCATTTGGGAAGCGATGATTTCGTTGTCCATAGCTGCATTAAGCAGATGTAGGCCCTGACCAGACAACACAACAGATTTATTTATGCAGCACTTTACTCCAGTGTATCAGTTAAAAGAATCAGCTACAACAACCTACTATAACTACACACAGCAAGACTGTGAATTTGAAACAGCAGTTCCTACATCCAATTGCAGCTTGTGGTAAAGTCTAGGTTAAGAGCAGCAGTCTTGATTTGGAAACGGAAAGACACAGAATTCACAATATTCCAACAAAAAGAAGCCACCAGTCTGCAGTCTGAGCTTGCCCAGTCTCGAGTCCTACTAATGGGTTTTAAAAGTGTTTTGCTGTTATTAGATCCCTTTCACTGCCTTGACAATTACGGGCCACATCCTTTATGGTTTCTTAACCTATTTTGGAATAGATGGAAAGACTGAAACCTGCCTTCACTGTACAAATTGGTTTTCATGGTAGGCATTTAAACATTAAAGAGGACAAAACATGAAATTGTTGAAGCCTTTCCTCTAGAACACACAAAGAGGCTTGGGCTTCTAACAAGGCTAGTTAGAGACACTGTTCTAGTTTAAAAGACTTCCAGAAGTAAAATTTCTGCTTTCCTTCTAGAAAGATTAAATTCTTTCTGGCCACAACAATCCCCATTGATTTAAACTTCAAATTTCTTACTTCTTATACCCTCTCCTTTTAATTTTGCCCTTCAAAGGTCAAAACAAACGCAGCTCCACTCCAGCATAAAACCCAAAGCCACCTATCAACTGCAAGGTTCTTCCTGTCAGAAAAGACTTCTAAATGAGGAAGAAACAGTTTAAGTTTTTCTTATTGATTCCAAGCAGAATGACTACAGAGAAATGACTCAAGCTTAGGTAGTAAAAGTTAATGGAATGCCATCTGAAATGAAGACTGACTCAGTAACACATGAGACTTGCTAATTGTTTTTTAATCTCCAATTCAAACCCTCACTAGAAGAACTCATGTAATACCAGTTTTTCCTCTTGAGCAGGAGAACAAACTTTAAATGAGAACATCAGGTTTTTCTGGCATTTAATAAAATGAAAATCATTAAGTGCTACGTACCCCCAAATGATTAATTATTTTAGCATCTATGAATCAAGACTAGGTAAACTTGCAGTGCAATTTTATTCTGCTAATGTGCAAGACTTACACATGACTTATTTTTTGGATTTCCCTTCTGCGTGCTGGTATTTCCTGTTTTGCAGCAGGCTTTCCCACCTCCTCAACACATTATACCTTAACCGTATACAATCTTCCGGAACATCCTTTTTCTGGACCAGCTAAGATCTGTAACAGCAGGCAGCGTTTGTGGAGACTGGGAGACCGGACACTGGATTCTTACAGCTGGAATTGTCTAGATCAGACAGAGAAACAAACTGTCATATATATGCTCTATAATGCTCCTCTAGTTGTTCTTAGTGCCATAAAGGTTCATATCTGAATTCAGAAATCTTAAACAAAAAAAGAAAGATTCAAGTGAGTTAAAATTGAGCACTTCTGTTTCAAAAGGTGAGTCTGAACAGGAAACACAGTATAGGCACAGGTGATATTAAGTAATGCACTTTTGCCTATTCTTGATGTTTACATAGGTAGTCATTAGTTCTTTTTTCCCCGAATAAGTTATTACTAAGTCTTAGCAGTAAAGAAATTTTTCTTTTTTCCTTTCCAGAAATTACATAATATTACAAGTAGGGTTTTTTTTTTTAAATTTTTCCCACTAGTCTTATGGTTTCCTCATCTCAGCATGTTTTGAATTGTTTCAGAGAAAAATTCTATGTGTAGCTCACAAGGAAGATAAAATCTGCATGTTTCACCAAATGAAATAATTCCATTCTGTAAAGAGACTTAAAAGCAAAATCTCTTAAAAGCAAATACCAAATGCCTACACCTAACTCAGACTAGATGATGGTGGAACAAACCTATTATAACTTTAGATGACAGCAAACTTATTGCCTGCTAGAAAAGTAGACTAAATCACCTTTCTGTAGTAACACCCAAACCCCATTACAAACCCCTCCACGTTAACTGCTAGACATAACAAAACTTTTCACAGGGTAAAAAAAATCCACGTTAACTGCTAGTCATAACAAAACTTTTCACAGGGTAAAAAAAAAAAGGCTAGTGTAGAGCCTGTTCCCTTCCTTACTTCCGTCAGCTAATGAAAGCACTCCACTTGCCAACATTAAATGCACAGTCATGGCAGAAGCCAACTCAATGTCTTTCCCGTTTGTTCACTCAGTGACAAAAGAGACACAAAATCCCATGCACTTCCTTCAAACATTTTGGGAGTACTATGTAAGATCTAGATGTTTAACACATTCTCAGTAACAGCAGCCTTAAGGAGTTCAGCTTATTCAAGTCTAACACTAATATTTCATAGTCACTGCGGAACATTTTAGAGAATATCCAGTTACTTACTCAGAAAACAATTTATGTCTTATCATGCTGCTACTAAGATACACCTACACAAGAGACTTTAAAGCTCTAGTCTTACAGCTACAGGGTAAGATCACAGCAAGCTAATGTACTGATTAATTAGCTAATACTTCATCATGTAGATTTTCCAATTTATTCAATGAGCAGCGAGCTACACTTGCCACAAAACACTGTAGCCATTCTTTAGTAAGGCTGCTGTGCTAGTTTAAAACTTAAGCTAAAGCATTTCAAATATCCCAGAAAATATATGAATAAACTTTTATTTCTAAGCAGCAACACACACTGTTTTAATACAAGCCACACATTTAAGTCAGGTGCAGAGTAGTAAACTGAACAATCATCGCTAAAACACTTCCATTGGAAATGTGTTAAAGTTCACAAGTGTTATCATTACCACCTTACTGAAGTTCTCTTATGTGTTTCTAGTCTACACACCACGTGGTGCACGCAGTCATGCAAATCTGAATCAAATTTTAAATGTTCAGGTAACAGGGAAGTCCATTCACTGCAAAGATTCATTTTTCACAGAAGAGCCAGGGTAGGTAAGACCAAATACTGCAGGGTTCTTCACAAGAGTACAGGTATTTTAGAAACCATGAACTTTCAGTTGTTCTTCCTTGACAATGCCAATCTAAAGGAGAAAAGCAACATATTTCAGTAAAGCTTACATGCTTCAGATATTACAGTGATATCAAGTTACCACAATCTTACACTCTGATTAAAGAAACTGCAATACAATGTATACTCAATATAGAAGTTTTCTACTTCCCAGGATGTTTCCGGGCCAGGAGAAGAATTGACTACATAAAAAAGAAAATCTTACCAGACATGTGACTTGTTCTGTAGTCCTAGCACTTATTCTTTGACAGTGTCAATATATATCATGATTTGCATCAGTAATCTTGTGGTGAAAGACTTTTTCCTCTATAGTGTTTTCAGTCTCAAAATGATGGTTTGCATCAAACACTTGATTTTACAAATGAAGAAGTCAAGTTGCACTGCCAGAGAACAAGTGGTACGTTCTTGCAGGGTAAATGCATTCTACAGTGCTTTGATTCTTACTCTTATTCTGCAAGTGTCATTTTACTTTTTGGCTGAAAATACAAAGGAACTACAGCAGACCTCTTTAGCTGGTTAATTAACATCAGTGCCACCTGCCACTCTATTGCTTCCAGAGAGGTTTAGATATTTATCTGCAATCCCTTACCTCCAAGAGGAATTGGCAAATGTTCTTTCTCTGGTCACCTTGAAGCTGGATAACTTCCCCGTATTCGGGATGTTCAATCACAGTACCATTACAAGCAAATTTCTAGAACAAAACATTCACATTGTAAGGCACCTGACGTACATTATTATTTTGCTTCTTAAGTCTTTCCTGCAGAATTTTGTCACAGAAGCTGTTTACTAAGCTCTGATGCCAAGCAAGGCAAAGGCTAGATCTATTTTGCACAGGTTTTGAGAGCAAATGGAATGTATCTAGTGATGCATACAGACACAAACTAAGCTGCTGATGGTTAATTCAGGCAAAGACAGGATTAGATACTGCGCAGGAGGAACTACCCAGCACTCATTGCAAGAATAGAAAACAAAGTCACAAGACACAGCCTTTCAACTCCAAACTATTTTAAAATAAATGTTTACATCCTGGTGAAACTCGAGATCTCTATTTCAAGAGCAACCCAGCAATGACAGGAGCAGGAATGCAAAAAACAGTTCTACTTTAAACTGATTTTATTCTTCACATCAACAAAGCCTGTTATCTCTGAAATTTTAATGAAACATTCAGAATGTATTTTATTTACTTCTTTATAGGAAAGAAACATTTAACTTTTTAGCAAAAATCAGTGTCACTGCATACTGACAGGAGTTTTGAGAAAGAGAGGTAAAGGCATGAACTTGAACATGCAAGTGATGTGCGCTGGCAGGAATGAAATCAATATTCTGTTACCTCATATTAAAAGCTACCACACTCTTTTATATCTTTATTATTAAATCAAATCAGCAACTTCACCTTTTTGAAAGCTTTCACAAGTTTCTTCTTGTCATAATCATCTGCAATTCCCTGAACAGTTGTTAGTGTCTTTCTCCCGTTTCGTTGCTGGATCCTTATATGAATGTAATCCTCAGTCCCCGCTGGGAGTAAGTCGTCGCCCTTTGTCGCATCAGCAAAGGGGTCTGCAGGAGGAAAACCATTTGTGTAATTCCCACAAAGGGAAACACCCAATTCGAAAACCAACAAGTAAATTTCTCACTTTATTTAAGGGATAATCTTGCTGTTTTCTCCCTGTTTAAATCAGAGTACTTTTTTTCTACAGATGTATTGTCTCACTACCCTACTAACTCAGCATAGCGCCCTCATCTATCCAGTTTCTTCAGTGCCTTCCCGGATATAAACAATTTTCAGCTCACATATCCATTTACTTCAGTATTTCCTGTAAACAGTAAATCCTGAAGCTCTGAACCTGAAAACAGGGCTCTGAGCGAACATCAAGTGCACATGAGTTTTTAGACAGCCACATGCATTTGAAGTGAAATATGAAAGTCATTATCTTTATCAGACCAACTGTTAAGGACAGAAAAATCAAAAAACTCTTATACACACACTCCTATAGAGGTCCAGAATAAAAGTCTTATACCTTGACAACTACCATGCTACAAGCACTTTAAGGCATGGATGTAATTCTTGGCTACTAATGTAAACAAAACAGGGTAAACAGACACAAACAGATGTCACAACTTGTCTGTAAACCAGGACCCCTCTGCCAGTCAGTAGCTTTAGGCAGGAATTTTAACAAAATTCATTCAGGCTTTGACTAAAAAAAGGTCAGCTCTCAAATTCTTCCAAGCTTAAATTTATCTAGCATGGGTGAAATAGGAAGGCATTTAGGAAGAAGAAGGGTTTCTGGGTTATACTTCTTGTTCTCTGTTCTCCACCAAAAAAAAAAAAAAAAAAAAGTATTTAACGCTCACTCTGTCAAGAAATTTGATAGCCCTACAAGTTTCCTAATCAGTAGCTCCAAATAAATCTTGAAGCATGAAAAAATCTACGTTTTGAATTTTTTTTAAAAACAAATGGCAAGTAATTTCTGCATACTAATCAGAATCATATTGAAGAGTCTGATCTTCAGAAAGTGTAGGTTCAACAGCCATGCAAGCTACAATTCCCCAAACTTCCATCAAAACTCAAACCTAAAAGGCTGACCAAATTTTGCAATCCACTCAAAACAAATACCGCAAAAGAGTAAAACTTCAGCAGAGATAGCAAGAGAAGCAGTTCAGCTTCTAGACAGACTGACCCTTGTGAAAACAAGGATGACTAGAATATTAAAGGCACTGAAAGCATCATGAGGATGCACGCTTCACAGGAACGACGTACAGCCCTGGGAAACTTGGCTGGCTTAATTTCTACTAAGGCACTTGTTATAACGTGCTGCACTTCAATGTCCCCCACAGATCGAAGGGCAAACAGTAATAGAAAATTTCAGTCAAAGAAAAGCATGAAGATCACTCGGCAGAGCTGAGGATTCCAGGCTGGAGATAAGCCAGCGCTGTAGGTGTTGACACTGGATTACTTCAAACAAATCCTTTGGGCAGCACCTTCCTAAGCGCAGGATCAGCTCCCAAATCATGATTAACACAACCTTCTCATGTGGCTTATATGTGCGGAAGATTAGAGACAAAAGTGAGACCAAAAGCCTGACAACATTACCATATCACTTCTGCTGCCTATAGATAAGGGAGGTGGAGAGCCATGGCCCAGCACTGTAAACTTCCCTAATACAAGAGAAATGACCTACAGTCTGTATAGCTCAATCGATATAAACAATACCCTTCGCAGGGCATATATCAGGTTTTGGGACATTGGTAAGGACACGATGAGGCAGCAAATCAACAAGCAATTGGAACGGAGGAGAATGATTGCCTTCCTTAGCAGACCATACGAACCCTAGGCTCCCTCTGCCCACAAAGGCTGCAACTTTGGGGCTGCAGAATTGACAGAAACGCCCGGTTTGGGGCGCACCTAGACACTGAGGGGAACGGCGCGGTACGGGGTGCCAGAGCACGGTACATGGCGGCGGCTCCCACGGGAGAGGAAAGGGAGCAAACAGGGAGAGAGACGAGTCTCCCAGCCCAGGTCCCCCCGCCGCACACACACACAGGGCAGCTCCCGAGGCTGGGGAGGGCAAGGCCGAGCCGCCGGAGCACGGCGGGCACCCCGGGGACGGCAACACCCGCCGGGCAACGACCGCAACCTCACCCCGAGGGGCTGGGGGGGGGGGAAACCAACGCCCCCGGGGGGGGGG